GGGAACCCCAAATACTGTAGTGTATGTACAGACATGCTTTTTTCCTTTGTGATTCCATTATTACAGAAAAAGTCATAGATTAGTGAAAAAATATAATACCATGACACTCCAGCAAACAGCAGCAGTCTTTGGCTTTCTGAATCTTTTCCAGAATTCTGAAGTTGTTTAAAATATCAAATTACTTCCAAATGGAAAATATGCAAGAGTAATGCATCATCACACATAAATACAAGAGTATTGACCATGTAAGTACCCAAGATGGGCTAAGCCTTCTACTGAGAGTTTTATATAAATTATCTTATTGATCCTTGCAATGAATCCCAGAGTAATTCATATGAGAGATAGGTAAACTGAGGTTCAGAGAGAAGGAACTATTTGCCCCATCATACAGCTCCTAAGAGGTGAGGGTGGGATCTGGCCTTAGCTCCCCTCACCCCAGAGCCTATACTCTTCTCACATGAGTGGCATTACATGGTTTGATGCCACTAGAAACTCATGGTCTCCAGCCTCCAGCTCTGTGTTTCCATCAGGGTCAGCTCCCCTGCTGATTCCCATGAGGGCCATTCCAAACCAGTCCTCTATGAAGATGCTTCTGACTCATTCTTTGCTATGAAAACTGACCAATGGCTGGGAATGCCCTCAATTTCACGACAAAGAAACAACTCCACCCTCCTCCCCTTCACTCCTTCTCCTGACACAAGTCAGTGGAGAGGTAGTGAGCAAGGGTTTTGGAATCAGAGAGCATGGGTCCGAATCTCAGTTCCACCACTTGTTAGCTGTATGACCTTGGACAAATTATTTAACCTCTCTGAGCCTCATTTTCCTCATCGGTAAAATGGGGATGATAACGGTACCTACCTCTAAGGTTGTTGAGAGTACTGAATCAGATAAAGTGGGTACAGCATTGAGCACATTGCCCGGCATCCAGTAAGCATTCAATAAATGCTGGTAAACAAAAAAGTATCTCCAACCTTGGAATTTGATCTAAACTCCTTCTGCCTTCTCCAGGTTCCTACTCCATCAGTTACTGTTTTCTTTACTGAACTGTTAGTTTCCCCCTTCCTAATAGTTCCCTCCTTGTGGCCTATAAACAGGTCATTTTCATCCCATATTGTAGAAAATACTTACATAATCTTTCTTTCCCTTCTAGCCTTATTTTCCTACCTGCAACATTCCAGGTTTTAGCAAGCAGGAAGAGACCTAATGCAGATATCTGGAAGGGCTTTTGCTGGCCCCTTGGCCCTTACCCTCATCCCCAGAAGGGCACATCCTTCTCCATGGGGAGAAAATAAAGTTGGCAGCCTGCTGTCTCTTACAGGATCTTGACTTCCAACTTCCCAAAGTCCCAGTGAATGGCTGCCCACACTTCCCCTTACAGGCGAGCACACCAAAAGAACAGCCAACGTTCTTTTTCACACAACTCTTTCACCTTCTGATTTCTTTCTCCTCAATGTGAACAATAACACTCCACACTGCCAAAATTAGCAGACTCCCTGCTGCCCTCTTAACCTTCATTCATTCATAATACCAACAGTTCTTCAATGCCCGCTATGTGCAGTGCACCGTGGTAAATGCCAAGCTCCTGCTGTGAACAAGACAATGGTGTCCTGTTCTGGGGGCACTTGCCTTCTAGTAGAGGAGTCATAGTGATTTATTTAACTACAATTGCAATAAGACCTATGAAGAAGTGCACACTTGTACTTATTGCAATTGCAGCTAATTAGGTAATGATTTAAATCACTAATCTTAGCTGGCACACTTCTCAGTGTGCTGAAGAAGTTCTAGCTGCAGGGGATGTGAAGATATGGCTTTCTCCTAATGTACTCCCAAAACAAAGGATGGAAGCACAAAATTGAAAGGGTGTTCCATTTGGAAAGACAAACACTCACCTTCATGAGCCCAAATATGACGCTGAAGGTCTGAACCATTCTTCATGAAATAGAAATCACAATAGGGGCACTTCATGGCTCTCTTTCCAATCAGCCCTTTCAGCTGAACCCTCCTCCCAAGAACCTCGGAGATAGTGCTCATGGAGACCTCTAGAAGAAAAGCAGGATAGCCATCAGAAGGAGCCAGAGCCTTGGTACGGGCAGATGTAATAAGCCTCGTCACTGAGCATCACGAAGGGGGCAGGGTCAAGATGTGCTCTATGATGTCATGAGAGTTTTATGCCTAAAAAGTTAAACCAGGATGTTTTTGCCTAAAAAGTTAAACCAGAATGTAATCAAGCTTCAGATCTAAATACATATTAACATAAATTATGAGGAAGGAGAAACAATATCACAAGGCAATCAGATAAATGCAGGCTGTAAAACCATCCACAGGAAGAACAACTCAGATCCCCCAAATCAATGTTATGGAAAAAGTGAGGGTGAGGGGAGGGTGTTTAGAATACAAGAAATTTAAGGGACATGACCACTAAATACAAATGCTTGGATCTTGATTTAAACAAACCAACTTTAAAAAATACATATCTTGGGTCAATTGGGAAAATTTTAAATGAATTAATACTAGGTGGTAATAAGAAATTACTGTTAATCCTGTTCGTTTTGTTGATGACATAGTGGTTATATTGGAAAAAATCCTTATTAATTAAAGACATGTCCTAAGGTTTTTAATGGGGAAATTACATGATGTCTGGGATATACTTTAAAATGTTATAGAAAAAAGTTCATGGGGCAGATACACGAAATTAGTTTGGCAAAATGTAGAGAACTGGGAAATCTGAGTTATAGATACATGGGCGGGGTGGGGGGGTCCTTATATTATTCTGTGTACTTTTGTATATGTTTGGGATTTTTCCACAATAAAAATGTTAAAATAATGACAAAAGGATGCCTTATATCTTCTCACAAGCAAAGGCTGGCGGTTGTAATGAGTATCTTCAGCTGACATTGGCTCACATGTTACTTAGGACACGGGTTAACCTGGGAAGGACAGAGTTGGGCCTTCACACAACCCACGTGCTCTCTCCCAGACAAAGGCCTCAAGGCTCAGACCGCTCCCAGATAAAACATAAGCATTAGTGCCTTTCCATTATTCATCTTCCTCCATTTCTGATCATTTACAGTCAGTGAGTCAGTGCCCTTATACCTAGAGCAGATGCAAAATAAAGAAACAGAAAAGGGAGGTGGATGAAGGGAGAGCTGCATATAGCTTCTTCATTACTCATTACACAGCACGCAGCACCGCTGTTTGCTCTCTCAGGCCCTGCCTGATGTGGGGATCTGGGGACAAGCCCTGCCTCAAGGACCCCATGGAGGCAGCTGGGAGAGGGACGGTGACTAAAGAACAAGTATTCAGTGAGCCATGACATTAGGAAGAGCCAGGTCAGCCCCTCAGCCAGATGGGGAGCCACAAAAGGGCCAGGCTCTGGGGGAGAACTTATAGAATAAACAGGAATTAACCAGGCAGAACAGGAGGAAAAATGTCCCAGGCAGCAAGAATGAAAGTGACAAAATGTGGATGCACAGGAGCTGGTGCCTCACGCCCCTGAGCAGCCTGGGATGTGAAGATACCATAATGACAGTCACTCCCAGTCCCTGAGGCTCCTCAGCCTGGGTGGGAGACAACACTCTTTATGAACAAACCATCACCATGGGCAAAACACACCTATGACAAGGCCAGGCATAGGCAAGGATCTCAGTCACACCTGCATCGTGTGTGACCCAGGGAAAGGCACTCAAAGTTCTCATGGAGCACGGTGGGGGAAGTGGGGTCACTGAGACTGCAGGATGTGGGCAAAGGCACGACTGAATACTAGATAAAAGGATAAAATGAAATAAATAATTACATAAACTTCTCAGCTTTAAACAAAGATGATTGTTTCTCTTGAATTTATTCATATTTTCATCCCTCATTATTTCCATATAGTGCAACTTATGTATAATGCTGTGTTTTAAAAAAAACAGAAGCATTTTAAAATTAATTTTCCACTCTAAAATCATAATCTTACCAGGATGATTGGTCTTGATATGTGACTTTATCAATCGATCTTCTGAAAAAGACTTTTCACACACAGGGCAAGAGTAACTTCTTTTATCCTTAACAGAAAGAGAAGATAATCAATTGACTGTCTCACTTAAATCTGGGCTCTAGAGAAATATTATCACCACCACCACCATTACCACCATCACCACCACCACCATCACCCCCATCACCATCACCACTATCACTACCATCACCATCACCACCACCATCACCACCACCACCACCACCATCACCACAACAACAACCACCGTCACCACCACCACCATTACCACCACCACCATCACCCCCATCACCATCACCACTATCACTACCATCACCACCACCACCACCACCACCACCACCACCATCACCACAACAACCACAGTCACCACCATCACCATCACCACTATTGCTACCATCACCATCACCACCACCACTGTCACCATCGCCACCACCGTCACCATCACCACCACCGTCACCATCGCCATCATCTCCACCATCGCCATCATCACTACCATTGCCATCATCACCACCATCGCCACCATCACCACCACCACCATCGTCACCACCAATATCATCACTATCATCACCATTGCAACTATCATTATCATCACCACTACCACCATCACCTCTACCAGCAGCAGTAGCAGCAGCAGCAGCCACTGCAGCAACAGCCACAGCCACATCATCAAAGCTAGGCAAACAGTGCATCCTTCCAAGAACATAACATACAGCTTCCAACTGGCCCTAGAGTAGAGGGACAGCATCAGCTCCATTTCAGAGGGGAGATTCCTGTGTAGGTGGTAATGGGAGGGGCTCAACCTCAAGACCGAGAGTCTACCACATAGACCAGTGCTGCTCCATGACCCAACATTATAATATGCCCTCCAGCACCCAATGCATGGGTTGCATGGAATTTCATGTAAGTTATTTTATTGAGGCTCACAATCAATCACAATAGACAAACATTGTTCAAGCTCATGTCATAGATTAAAAAACTGAGGCCCAGGATAATGAACCCAAAGTCTGAGAGGAAGAGCTAGCACTGGAAGTGGAGTGTATAGATGTCCACCCAGGACACCTCGTACCTCTCCAAGACTCATGTCCCACTGAGGCTGCAGGTAGGGAGTTCATTCTGCACTATTGCTACCTCAATCACTCTGGTGACCCCAGTGTTACATTCTCGGTTAGGGAGAAGGCCTTGTGAATGACCAAGCCATGGCTTTTGCTCATCTGTTTTCTCTCAGAGCTTACGTTAGGGATATTTCACATCACAATTTTCCCCAGAGGGTGGGTGTTATGGGTTGAATTCTGTCTCCCCAAAAAAGCATATGTTGGAGTTCTAACTCCAGTGACCTTATTTGGAGATAGGGATTTTACAAACATACTCCAGTTAAAATTAAGTCACCAGGGTAGGCCCTAATCCAATATGACTGCTGTCCTTACATAAATGAGAAATTTGGACACAGACACACACACAGAGAGAATGCCATGTGAAAATGAAGGCAGAAATCAGGGTGATGCATCTACAAGCCAAGAAAGGCCAAAGACTAAAATCAAACCACCAGAAGCCAGGAGAGAACAGAGCCCTCAGAAGGAACCAACTCTTCTGACACCTTGATCTTGGACTTCTGATCTTGAGAACTGAGACAACGAACATCTATTGATTAAGCCACTCAGTGTGTGGTGCTCTTCTCGCCAAGCTTCCAAGTCCACATCTTACAGGGAGCCAAAATGGGGTGGAAAGAACTCTGAGCATCCAGATGAACAAAAAACCAAAAAATATACAAGAGGCATTACTGCAAGGAAATGCTGTTGGCCGTGTGTGTTCCGGAGGATGTGAACACAGTCCATGCTCACTTGGATTTATAGGAGAACTAATTCCCACCATTTATGGAGCACCTGCTGTGAGCTCAGCAGGACACCAAGTGCTTTCCAAGCCTACCAAAACGAATGCAATCCTCACAGCCTGCCTAAGGCAGGCTACTCATACCTCTAAACAACAACAATCACAACAGCTGCCACTTGTTAAGAACTTACGACATGTCAGGTGCTTTACACAGTACAATCTGAGGCATTTAGGAATTTGCCCAAGGTCAGCCACCACTGAGAGCAGAGCTGGACGTCCCAGGCAGGCCTTTGGACTCTAGAACTCTTGCTTCTGTGAGACTGCAACTAGCAGCACAGTGTCAGGGCGCAGAGCCCCTAGATTCGAATCCTGGTTTCATCATTTAAGCTGGGCACCTTTGGACAAGTGATTTAAACTCTCAGTGCCTCAATTTCATCATCTCTAAAATGGCAGTAAAAAGTGCCTCCTTCATAGTTTCACAAGAAGCAAAAAGGAGATAAAAAGCACATAGAGTGCCCAGAATGGGCCTGACCTATAGTGAGAGCTCAACAAATCTCCAAGACTTTGCTGCTGTGGTTTCTGCACTGCCATAACGCAGCTCGGCCTGAGACAATAGACCTTCTCATGGGCTAATGCACCCTGGGAGTTTCCAAGAGGGGACCCTGAACAGCCTCCCCCAAACTCATTAGTGGACTGGTTATTGTTGCTACTGCAGAACATCTCCTGAGGCCGATGTTCCCCAGAGCACACTTAGGAAAAGGAGACATTACATTAAACAACAGAAACAAAACAAAAGTCGCTCTGAACAACCAAACAGTCTGAATGCACTCCTGAGCGTTCTGGCCAACCAACGCCACAGACTTCCACCCAAGCTCCATCCTAGGCTTGGGCTTCTCAGCATCCTCCTGCCACTGTCCTCCTCTGCCCTTGACTCATGCCGTTTGAGGAAGACACCCTGGGCCTGGTGGACATCCTGGAGGAGGCCTCCACCAGTCCTGGCTGCCCCGTGGTGCCCTCACCATCAGAGTTGATGGAGGCATTCAGAGGAGCTTTGAAAGAGTTTACAGTGATCTCCCCTGAGTCCTTGCTATTTGATTTTTTTCTTTTATCTCAGATAATCTAAAAGCAATATATCCTAAAGCTTATCAGGCCCCTTATTACTCGATGCCTTTGAAGATTGTCAGGACACAGACAGTGGTGAAGGGTACAGGGAGAAGGGTGAACTCTTAGTGCTCATTTACTTCTTTTTCAAAACCTCAGTTCAGTACCAGAGATGAAAACCCAAACTGACACAGCAAACTTAAAAACAGCGGTGGTTATAAGAGTTCCTTGCAAAGGCGGGAGGTGGAAGAGATCCACACTGCAATGATGGTAAAGAACCAGCCCTCGGAGTCTGTGTCGTGCTCTGATGGAAATGGCTTTCAAAGCAATCAGGAATCCTTGGGGGGACGGGGGGTTATCTGCATTAGGCCCCAGCCATGGCATGCAGAGGCTCGGGGCCCAGCTCAGGCAAACCTCACCTTGTCCATGCCTCAGGGGTCTTGGCCCCCAAAGTAACTGGACAGTCCTTAAATCCAAAACTAGCACTGGGTGGAGAACATCAGATTGAATCCCCCCACCACCACCACCAATTATATATAACTCTTGCATAAGTAAGTGCACTGTAAAACATCCGACAGAGTTAGAAAAACAAAGGTGTGGATTCCACTCCACACAATTTCTCAGGAATAAAGGCCACAGTCACAGTATCTGCTATCCTCTGTGGTTCACTCATTCATTCCTCAAATGTCACAGAGCCCTTGTATTGTGTCAGGCACTGCGCTGAGGCCAAAGTGGTGAAACCCTCAAGGGGCCACAAGCGCATCAAGAAAAAGATGTGCCCACGTGAAGAGCCCAACAATCAGTGGAGACAATGCAGACGGTGCAACAAAGCACAGGAAAGGTGACACTTAAATTGGGACTGATGGAAACAATTTAGAAATGTGCTTGATTGGGGATTTCAACTCAAGGCTTTTTCATTCCACTGTTTTGCCAATGCCATGCCTTTCAGTTCAGAATCTTGATTCTTGCTAAAAAGAAGCTATTCTGTACACAAGAAGCTTTGGTAGCCTGAGGAAACAGGGCAACACAGAAATAAACTTGTTTTGGGATCAAGTAAGAAAAGACCATATTCTTATGGCTCTTGGAAAGCAAAAACATTATGTTCAATCATTTTAGTTAAGTAACATTTTCCTCTCTTTAAAAAATACTGACTGACTGTACTCATTTATTTCCAGGAAGATACAGGAGGAAGCTCCCTCTACTTTCTCTGTGCTTTGTTAGCAATATGTTATTTTAGCTTATCTCCAGTGAGTATGAGTAAGATTTTTTTTAATATGTGTAGCTTTACAGCCAAAAATAGAGTATGCGCTTCTCAAAGACAGAGGCCAAGTATCCTAAGCATCTGTTGAGAGCTGTCAGACCCTGAATGGATACACCACCACCACCATTAGTATTCTTCCTCTTCCTGGTCCTCCACCTCTCCCTTCTCCTACCAGTACTAAGAAGGATGAGCTACCATGGCCTCCCGTTATGTGCCTGGGACTGTGCTGTGTCTCTTACAAACATCAATCACTAATTTCCCATGGCAACGCTGGAGGTGGGGATTGTTATCACCACTTCCAGGCAAGGGGATGCGAGAGGTTAGGTAGCAAAGCCACAGGCATCTAATTCTCAGAGTTAGCTCAGGCTGTAATTACTAGCAGTGTCTCTGGGGTCTCGGAGAAGGAACACAAGCCAGAAAGGGAATGAAGTGGCATATCATAGACATTTGCCAGATGCGCCACTGCCTGCTGTTTCACACTTTTGTGTCAGGAGCAATTCTTTTTTTATTTATTTATTTTTTTTCGTTAAATTTTTATTTTGTCAATATACACTGTATATGAT